TTATTTATATAAATATTTTAATAATATATTAAATTTTAATCTATTTAATGATTTAAAATAATAGATAATATTTTTAATAACATATTAAATATTTTAAAAAATATTTTAGCAACGTATTAAAATATCAATGACATATAAAAAAATTTAGTAATTTTATATTTGATTATATTTTTAATTTAATATGTGAATAAAAATAATTACAGGTCACTAAATCTATCATTAATTTAATATTATATATATATATATATATAATTTGCATATTAATAAAAAATATAATTTTAATGTATCTATATTTATGAAGAAACTTAAAGTTGTTTTAATTATTGAATTGCCTTTTTAAATTTATATTACTCGCTGGTTAATTTAATAGTTAGATAAATACTTCAAGTTTATATTATTCAATTTTTGGTATTTGAAAATGTAAAGATTAATTAAACTTGTTTTGAATCTTTAAAATTTAATTAAACTTAATAATATGTTAAAACGCAAAAAAGAAAAAAAAGTTGAGATATGTAAAAGCTAATATTGTTGAAGAAGCTTTTTAAATTTGCTCACTTATACAGAAATTGATTATAAGTTATTGTCAGCCCATACTTAATGACTCTAAATGAATATTAGTTCACGTTTAAGTTGTTATTAACTCATATTTAAGTTATGTTCAGTAAGTTATCCGTTTAAATTGTTGTTAATCGATATTTAAATTATTGTCAACCCACCTTTAAATCACTCACTCTTAAAAGATCATTAGTGAATGTTTAAATGTATTTTTCTTAGTCTAATTTTTCTTACAAATTCAATAAGTAAAAATAATGAATAACAATTAATTATTGATTGATTATGTTATTTGTATATTTTTGAAATATTATTCTTTATATTTATTTTTATTCTTTCGAATAAAATATTTTAAAATAAATATTAATCCTGTAATATTATTTATATTTATTATATTATTTAAAGTTGCATTATTATATTTTATCTGAAATTACAAATTAAAAATATAAAATATATTTTATTTTCGTTATCATCGCTTAATCACTCGTATTAGCGAGACTTGCTTAAAACGAAATGTTTATTGCTTAAATGGAGTTTTTTTTAAAGCGATATGTTTCTCAATTTAAGTGGAACTCGCTTCAACACTTGCTTTTATGTGATTAAGATTTTTGTGACTTTGTAAGAACTAGATCATGAAAGAAGTTTGCCTAAAAAGACCAAACTTTGAACAATGTTTAAGAAATATTATTCAATCATTTAGAATTTTAGAACATGTAAACTCGTCCAATAATAACCCGATTAGAAAATACAGAACTTAATAATGGTAACCATACTACAAAAAATAAAATTAGAAGAGCATTAAGTATCTCTCTATCGCGCGCTTTAATCTCTGGTTCTGTAATTGGCCATGCAACTTCATATCGTGTTTGCCACATCAATGACAAAGCGATATTTAACGTCATTCTTTTGCAGTCTCTCAAAGGCAGTGTTCACGTACTCCATTGGAATGACTTCCACATCTGCGGTAATATTGTGCTTTGCTGCGAAATTCATCATCTCTTGAATCTCTTCTCTCCCCCCTCCTGCACTGCCAGCAATCATCTTTCTCCCTGCAAGCCAAAAAGGACATTCTCAGTGTTACTCATTCCCCCTCTAAACAATTGTGGAAGGATATTGGAGGGCTATAACTACAGGGAGACTTACCCAAAAGCAAAGGCATGGCTAAAACCTCAAGAGGAGAGGCTGGTCCACCCACCAAAATCAACTTTCCACTTGTTTTCAATAAACCGATCAGTGGTTGGATGGAGTGATTAGCTGAAACAGTGTCAATAATGGCATCCATTGTGCCCATGGCATCCTAAATACCCGCCACAGAAATTGACTAGTCAGTTATTAGTCAAATGACGAAACAACTGTTAGTCAAATTCACTAGTCATGCATCCATGCATTATTTTTGTTTCTTTGTATTTAATTGATAAAATAGATTGAAGCAATTGATGTGTCAGTTACCTGCAACTGTTGTTGGTCTTGGCTAACCAAGAATGCATCAGCACCAAGCCTCTCCAGTGCTTCCTTCTTTTTGCTGGGAGATGTGCTAATCACAGTGACATGCATTCCAAAAGCCTTAGCAAACTTCACAGCCACGTGACCTAGGCCTCCCAGGCCCACCACACCCAAGTGCAAGCCTGGCTTGGTAAGCCCATGATACTTCAATGGGCTGTAAACTGTGATTCCAGCACACATCAACGGGGCCGTACCGGCTAGTGGCATGGACTTTGGGATTAGCACCGCAAAGTTCTGATCAACCACTAGCTTATCCGAGTACCCACCCTGGGTTATTGTTCCATCATGGTAGCGTGCACTGTAGGTTAAAATCATTTTTGGACAATATACATAGAAGCCCTCGCTGCAGTTCGAACATGAGCCACATGAACCCACAGTGCCACCCACACCAGCTATGTCCCCAACACAGAATTTTGTGACTTTGCTACCCACCTTTGTCACTTTAGCCACGATCTCATGCCTAAAGTACGTATTCCAAAATTAATAGAAAATTTGACATGAAAATATCAAGTCCATATACTAAAATAGTGCTCTTGATAATTTCATTATATACTTTATAACACATGGTCAGAAAAACATTTTACGAGGAATTCTTCCAATACATACATATATAAGGAACTAAACAAAAAATCACACATTTTAAGGAATAGAAACTTAGGATTAAAAGCAGATTTCTACAGAGTAAAAGGGTTCATATATGATCTCAAGAAAGAATAAAATAATACCCAGGAACCATTGGATAGATCGACATTCCATAGTCATTCTTCAGAAAGTGGAGGTCAGAGTGGCAAATTCCACAAAATAGTATGTCAAGTGTGATATCGTTATCACCATTTGCCCTGTTAATTTTGTTCAACCAAACAAAAAATCAGTGTCATAGTGAGATGGGTGTTTTTGAAGCTCATGCAGTTTCCATTAAGATATATTATATTATACCTTCTGGTAAAGTGGAATGGGGAGAGAATTCCCGAATCGTCTCTAGCTGCCCACCCAAAGGTAGCAACTTTATCCTTTTCATCTCCTGCTAACACGTTCGACATGTTATAGTTTTGAAAGAAAAAGGGATTGATGGAATTTATGACAAAAGGAAACGAATGGCAACTTGTGATGAAGAACTAAATGAGAAGCTGAGGATATATATAGCAAGAAAAGTGTGAACTTTTTTTCAATTTCCTTGAACAAGAAGTTTTATAAATCAACACCAAAATACTCAGAAAATTATAATTCAGAGGTTGCATGCGGGGCTTCTGTAGTTTGTAGAGAGAACATTCAACCTCCTTGCTTTGTCAAAGTTATTTGTTGAATGATCAATAGGCTGCTGCAACAGTTAAAGGGAAATTTATACAGAAGTGATATTACATTTCATAATTTTTCCATGCACTTCATTGACATTCTTTTTTTTTTAAGTGTTTCATGTATAAACATTTGAAACAAAAAAGTAAAACGATAATTTTATATTTAAAAATAAAACAATAATTAAAAAGATGAGTGAAACCCTAACACTAGCCACAAAAATCAAAATTGGTCCCACATTGGTACGTCGGAATTCTGAACCTTGTGACATCGTGTATCATTTGGCACACTAAATTTAGGAAAAAATAAGACAATTAGTAAATGAATCGACACATTTATACAGATAAACCAACGTCACCAAGGGGTGAATATTGTGAGGAGTGGTGATATTTTCACAAATCATACAATCTTTTAAATAAATTATTTTTATTAATATAATAATTTATAAAATGATTTAATAAAAATAAAAATAAATTAAAATTATTATATAGGAATCACTACTAAAAATTTTCATTTTTTATGGGAATATTTTTGTAAAATTTTGGTAAAAGTTGTAAGAAATAAGTTTTCTACCAATTTAAACAATTTTTTGAAAGAAAATTGGGAGAAAAAAAATAGTTTTACAGTAGTGAATTATATGAATTTGGACGAAGAGAGTATCATTTTTCTATTGTGAGCTTTGTGGGTCCAGCAACGTCCATCAAACGTACTATGTATCTCATCCCATACGTCAACGTTGCCAATGTAAAAGAAACAGTATAGAGAGTAATAGAGAGTGAGGTTGAGATTGATTCGACCAAAGTGAAAAAGTAAAAAAAATTGAGCAGATAATAAAATTGATTTGATTGTTAAAAAAAAAGATAAATAAATAAATTAATAAATAATTAAAATATTTTTATTATAAGCTTTAATAAGAATAAATATAAATTAAGATTAAATACAATTTAAAATGAAATATTTTTTAAATGCATAAAAATATAACTAATTTTTATATCAAAATATTTTATGATATTATTTTATTAAAAAATAAAAAATATTTAAATTTGTTATGTAAATTGAAAATAAAAGTTTTTAAATCGAAAGTTAAATAAATTTTATGTATAATAAAATATAAATTAAAATAAAATTAGTTTAAATTAGATATTATATATACATAAGAAAAAAAATTAATATATAATTAAATAAATTTTTTAATAATAAATAAGATATATTATGCATTTAAACATCAATTATGTGTAAGTATCAGTATTGGTTAAAATAATATTTTGTAACTTTTAGTTGACTTTTTAGCCGTTTGATCTCAAGAGAGAAGAGACTAAACAAAGATAAATAAATTCGAATTGCATTTCTTATAGTTAGCTTGGTGAACAAGTGAACCAGAAGATCGTTGTGGATTTCACTTTCACTTTGACACTGCCTCCTACGCAACAAGTCAGGCTAGTAAATAAAGCAACACACGTCACCAGATACGTTAGAGATACGTCACCAAATACGTCAATAAAATCTTCACCATGCGCTTATAAATACCTCTTTCTCCCTTCTACTTCTCACTCCTCATTCATTGTTATCCAAAGAGACACACTTCGATCTTCCCTTCCACAAATAGTCATCATTAGATTTATTTTCTGATCAAAGTGTTGTAACAGATTGAAATGGCATCACAAGCTGAGGTTGAGCATCCCAGAAAGGCATTTGGATGGGCAGCCAGGGACCCTTCTGGTCATCTCTCACCTTTCAATTTCTCCAGAAGGTTCCTCAATATCTTCTTCACTCAATGCATCTTTCCACATATTTGTTGCAGCTTTTTTCGTTTCTCAATCACTCTTCAGGAAAAAAAATCAACAACATTAATTACCTCATAAAGCAAATTGTCTCATCTTCTTAATTTTCGTTTTTCATTAACACGAGACCCTTATACAATGATTTGCGACATACAACAATATACCTAGAAACAGCACATTAGTAATGATTTGCAAACAAATGCTAAGAGCAAAGTTCATTGATAGCCACTTAATTAACAGATTCAGTTCTTCTTTGCATTTTTTTGTTCAGGGAGACGGGTGAAAAAGACGTGGCATTCAAAGTGTTGTATTGTGGGATATGTCACTCTGACCTCCACATGGTAAAGAACGAATGGGGCTTTTCCACTTATCCACTAGTCCCAGGGTATATACATTATACTTTAAAACAAATACTTACTCTAATTCTCAAAGACTCTATTAATCTTGGTTTTAGCATAGATTTCATAACGCTACTTTTGTTTATCAAACCATGAACTGATAATGTATGAAATGTTGCAGGCATGAGGTCGTTGGTGTAGTGACAGAGGTGGGAAGCAAAGTGGAAAAGTTCAAAATTGGGGACAAGGTGGGTGTGGGATGCATGGTTGATTCCTGTCGCACCTGCCAAAACTGTTCTGACAATCTTGAGAATTATTGTCCACAATATACTCTCACATATGGTGCCAAATATAAAGATGGTACCATCACATATGGAGGTTACTCTGATTTAATGGTTGCAGACGAGCACTTTGTGGTTCGAATTCCTGATGGCTTACCACTTGATGTTGCTGCACCTCTCCTTTGTGCTGGGATCACAGTGTACAGCCCTCTCAGATATTTTGCACTGGACAAGCCTGGTGTGCATGTGGGTGTGGTTGGTCTCGGTGGACTAGGCCATATGGCTGTGAAGTTTGCCAAAGCTTTTGGCGCTAAGGTCACAGTAATAAGTACATCACCTAACAAAAAGGAGGAAGCAATACAACATCTTGGAGCTGACTCTTTTCTGATAAGCCGTGACCAACATCAGATGGAGGTACATACATACGAATGTAGATACACATATAACTATGGAAACACACATTCTCTCAATTAACTAACGTTGATTATTTTGTAGTCTGCAAAGGGTAGTTTGGATGGCATTATTGACACAGTTTCTGCCGTTCATCCTCTGTTACCTCTCATTGATTTGCTCAAGTCTCATGGAAAGCTTGTAATGGTCGGTGCACCAGAGAAGCCTCTGGAACTGCCAGTGTTTCCTTTACTTGTTGGTAAGCAAGTGAATTAGTGTAAAATTCAGATGCATGCACATATAAAAATTTAAATCGTCAATTTGATGTTAATAATTATTTTCTTTCAATTATGTTGCTAGGGAGAAAGATTGTAGCCGGGAGTGGTATTGGAGGAATGAAGGAGACACAAGAGATGATGGACTTTGCTGCGAAGCACAATGTAAAACCTGATATTGAAGTCATTCCTATAGAATATGTCAACACTGCAATGGAGCGTCTCCTCAAAGCAGATGTAAAATATAGATTTGTGATTGACATTGGAAACACACTAAAACCAAGCTCTTGAACGTGATTCTCATTTCTGTGAAAATATGATAGATAGCATTCAGCCTACCATTTTTCAAGAAGTTTGCCATTTATGTTACGTATTTGTGGAATGTTATGTCTTGAATAATCCTCAAGTTCAATGCTAGATGATACTCAAAAGTTGTTGACATAGTACCAGATATAAATGATTGGAACTTTCCAACCTAATTTTAGGTTAGTTTCAAATGGCATTTTTTGTATAATTGCACTTCGAAAATAGAAAGTTTCGTCCAAAAGTATTGACATACATGCAAAATCACCTTGCCAGATTTAAATACCTGAAATTTTTGCCACAGTTGTTACTTGGGTAACGATGTGCACGAGGAATCACATACAATCCCATGATTCAATCAATATGTTCACCTATACGGGCTCCCAGCTAAAGCTTATTATACTGTGTGTTGTAGCATCTTCGTGTGTTTGAAATGAGTTCCAATGATGCAATACGGTTAATTGTATGAACTATATCATATCAGGGATTGCAAAATGGTTCACTCCGTTCTTTTTTACCCGTTTTGTCTCTAATCCTTTAAATGGGACGTGACATCTTACCTACCTTACTCGAAGACAGACTCCAGTTTAACAGGCTGTTAATAATATTTTTTTTATATATTTTTAAATTTTTATTTATGAATAAATATTTTTATTATAATTAATATTTAAATTTAATTAATTAATTTGTATAATTAAATTATAATATATTTTAATAACATATTAAAAAATATAATATTTTAATTATAATTCTTTATTTTTTATTTAATATATAAATTTATTTTTAAAGTGATGAGAATCAAAACCTTTTAGCAACCACCATTTTTTAGGGTGATGTTGCTAACCGTTTTGTCATCTACCATGTAGTTAAATCGACTCCATCTGTCAATGAACAAATATACCCATTTTAGGGGCTCATTAATAACAAACATAAAACCTAGAGTAAATTGAATTTAGAGTAACCATTGAAGTAGATAAAGCGTTGTCTTCAATTTATAGTGTGCTTTTCTCCAAGCATAAATCAATCAGTTTGATCTTCATGGGCACTTAAACATCCTCAAACTAACTACTATAGTTTTTTTTTTTTAAACCTACATCAGTTTTCAAACTAGCCCATCAACAAAAAAGTCAGTACCTAGCATATTTTAACAAACTAAACAAATAAAACTTAGTCAAAACATTTTAAATAATAATAATAAAATAGATAAATATAGTTTTAATTTTAATTTAATTTCCAATCTTCTACTACAAATTTAAAATTTAAATAAAGAAAAAATATAATGTCTATATATATATAATATAATATAATATAAAAGTTCAAATAAATTTTAATAAAATATGATATATTATATTTTTAATATATCGAACCTTACACCCAATTGATATGAATATGCATGTCCTCGAGAGAATACATAGATTATATTGTCTCCAACGACATCTCCATCTCCTTTGATCAAATTTTATAATATAATACAGTATAATAAAATTGTTTATTTTAGTTCTACTTAATAGTATGTGTTATGATTTTTTCAAATAATATAAAATGTCACTTTGATATTTATTCATTTCATCACCATACTTATTAGGTGAATCTTTGGAACGGAAGTACGTAATACTCATTCTTAACACCTATTGTCATCGTGCCCATTAAAAGCTATTTTGAATTTTACCACAGATTAATATCTCAATCTTATTATTGTCATGATTTAATTTCATTTTGACATACAAATGAAACATGCATAATTTTGTAAAAAATATAATGTTGTATTTTAGTTAGCAATATTTTCTTTTTTATCCATTGAATTTTATTCATGAGATTCTCATACATTTGCAAATAAATGTCTATTGCTTGTAATTAGTTGATGAATTATAGTCTCATTCCTTTTAGGGACTCAAACACTTATTAACACATCAATTCTTTTACAAGGTTCAAAGATAATTGGGAAATAAATTGAAATGAAAAATATAAGAATAATTCATTATTTTTCAGGAATTGAAGATACCTAATATCCTTTTGATTAATTTTATTTTGAAGCACCTCTAATTATATTTCTAAGTAGACTCATATTGTCACTTTAATTTTAAATAACTCAATCAATTTTCATTCTAATAAAATTCTAGTTAACAAGTTGGTTAATTCATAAATAAATATCAAGTTTGTCTTTAATATTTTATATTTTCTCTCTTGTATATTTACACACAAATGTAATGACTCGTAAAGAATAATTTTTTATATCAACAATTTTTTTTTCAATCTTAAACATATCAAAATCTCATTAGGCTTACCAAAATAATATTTTATTGATAAATAATTAATATACTTAATTTATTTCTTTTTTAATTATCAGTTTTCTTGAATTTATTATTATCATAGAGTAATTATGATGAGAATTTATTGAAAAATGTAACACATGAAGCAGTTGCAAGTGGAGGGAGACGAAGTAAACAAATAGATGATTGACTTAGTTGCATAACACAATGTAAGACCTAATTAATTCCTGCTGATTATGTCAACATTGCAAATGAGTGTCTCCACAGACTAAAAAATCAAGCTTTTAAATTCACCTTTGACATTTTCGTCAAAGACAAGTGAAAAATGTTATATTTTCTTTCAACCTACCGTTTTTCAACATTGTATCCCACGAGAATTGACAATATATATCCCTCCATTTTCCTTTGAAAAAAGTTTGATTATGGTTTTACATTACTGTAGACAAGTGGGATCTCAACTATCTTCACATCACATTAAGGTAACGTTAGAAACAAAAGGATCCAAAATATTAAAAGATTTGGTTATTTAAGACTGTAAAGTCTTCTATACAAAACGAGAAAAAAAAAAAGAAAAGAAAAAAAGATTAAAGCTATCTAGAAGTAGCATAGCTGAGAGAGAGGGGACATGATTTCCACCAAATATAATTAAAGTTTGAAATAAACTATGATTATTCAACTTTCTACCCAAGTGTTCCCCGTATGCACACTATCCTCAATTTGCCAACATTCCTTTATATTGTATTCATAATGAAAAGGAATTTCCAATGAGTTCTTTTTCTTCTATTGCTAACAATACAATTGAAGTAAAATCTCCCCCTTTAACTTTCATCGATCATCTACAAATTGGACTTTCAAATTTTAAAATGTTTAAATGATTTTCTCCATTTTACACCGTACAAATACGAATATTATTCCAAGAAAATCTTGCTTTTGTTTGTCTTTTCTTTATCAATCGGTGTAGAGTATTATTTAACAAAAGTTTTTTTTCTTGTTAAGATCCTTATCCCATGAAATTCTTTATTATTACTGTACTGTTACGCATCAGATTACAGTTTTACACTCATTGGCCGATTTTATGTGCATTTCTACGCGATCATAATCCAACCTTGAATCATTTAAGACGGGTGATATTTCTCTCAAACTATTCCACCTACTCTTATGATATCAGCACAACAGTTATTGTTGACATAAAATATAGGTTAAATAATTAAATATAAGAAAAATTAGAGATAAATTTATCACATTCCTTTTTAGTAGAATATTTGGCATATATTATACTTTGTTCGGTTGATAAGTTTTACATCGTTTATAAATATACTTACTTATGATTTTTCAATTTTACCTTTTAAATTTCTTATAAAAATATATTTTATATGTTTTTAGGTAACACTTCAAAGTGTATATCTAATCATTTGTCATTCTACGTGTTTTAAATTGACGGTGTTTTTAATATTAATGACTAAAATCTTAACAGACATGAAAATTGGATAAAAAAAATTTGTATGAAACACAAATACATATTTTATCTTTAAGTAATAAAAAATATAAACTTAAAAAGTTTCTAAAAAAAATTAGCCTAATTAATTAAATATTATTTATCATTATTAAAATATATAAAAAATAAAAGATACAGCATTTAAAACTTTAATTTATACAATAAATTAGTGTACTATATAATAAGAGGATAAAGAAGATAGAAAAGTAGTTAATGTAAGAAAATTTTTATTTTTGCAACTGTTTTTAAACATACATCATCTTATAATTCCATCTTTAATTATATATCTTAATATAATATTATTATTTATTATTATATTATTTTTTTCTAGTTGTAGGTGGGATGTACACCCTCTTAATGTAATAAATGATGTGTTGAATGGAAACGAAACATTGATACATAAGTTGTTGAATGAGACATTATTCGACCCATCTCATTGAATCATGTGAAGTTATTGGTAAGTGATAACTTAGTTTGTTCCACTTAAAAATGCAGTTGGTGAGATATTTCCCAGAAAGAGATACTCTAGTTATATAGAGATGACTTGGATAATTTAATTTTGATTTGTTCTTACATTAGTCGTGTTTGTTTGTATTATGTAACTAGATCATTGAAGAAGTTTGACTAACAAGCCCAAACTTTGGACAATAATTAGGAAATATCATTCAATCATCTAGAATTTTAGACCATGTAAACTCATCCAATAATAACCAGAGTTAGAAAATACAGCACTTAATAATGGTAACGATACAACAAAAATTAAAATTAGGACAGCATTAAGTATCTATCTATCGCGTGCTTTCATCTCTGGTTCTGTAATTGGCCATGCAACTTCATATCGTGTTTGCCACATCAATGACAAAGCGATATTTAACGTCATTCTTTTGCAGTCTCTCAAAGGCAGTGTTCACGTACTCCATTGGAATGACTTCCACATCTGCGGTAATATTGTGCTTTGCTGCGAAATTCATCATCTCTTGAATCTCTTCTCTCCCCCCTCCTGCACTGCCAGCAATCATCTTTCTCCCTGCAAGCCAAAAAGGACATTCTCAGTGTTACTCATTCCCCCTCTAAACAATTGTGGAAGGATATTGGAGGGCTATAACTACAGGGAGACTTACCCAAAAGCAAAGGCATGGCTAAAACCTCAAGAGGAGAGGCTGGTCCACCCACCAAAATCAACTTTCCACTTGTTTTCAATAAACCGATCAGTGGTTGGATGGAGTGATTAGCTGAAACAGTGTCAATAATGGCATCCATTGTGCCCATGGCATCCTAAATACCCGCCACAGAAATTGACTAGTCAGTTATTAGTCAAATGACGAAACAACTGTTAGTCAAATTCACTAGTCATGCATCCATGCATTATTTTTGTTTCTTTGTATTTAATTGATAAAATAGATTGAAGCAATTGATGGGCTAGTTACCTGCAACTGTTGTTGGTCTTGACTAACCAAGAATGCATCTGCACCAAGCCTCTCCAATGCTTCCTTCTTCTTGCTGGGAGATGTGCTAATCACAGTGACATGCATTCCAAAAGCCTTAGCAAACTTCACAGCCACGTGACCTAGGCCTCCCAGGCCCACCACACCCAAGTGCAAGCCGGGCTTGGTAAGCCCATGATACTTCAATGGGCTGTAAACTGTGATTCCAGCACACAACAACGGGGCTGTACCGGCTAGTGGCATGGACTTTGGGATTAGCACCGCAAAGTTCTGATCAACCACTAGCTTATCCGAGTACCCACCCTGGGTTGTTGTCCCATCGTGGTAGCGTGCACTGTATGTTAAAATCATTTTTGGACAATATACGTAGAAGCCCTCGCTGCAGTTCGAACATGAGCCACATGAACCCACAGAGCCACCCACACCAGCTATGTCCCCAACACTGAATTTTGTGACTTTGCTACCCACCTTTGTCACTTTACCCACAATCTCATGCCTAAACGTACGTATTCCAAAATTAATACAAAATTTGACATGAAAATATCAAGTCCATATATAGTAAAATAAAGCTTGATAATTTCATTATGTACTTTATGCCACATGGTCAGAAAAACATATTATGAGGAATTCTTCCAATAAATACATATATAAGGAACTAAACAAAAAATCACACATTTTCAGGAAAAAAAAAACGTAGGATTAAAAGCAGATATCTGTAGAGAAAAGTGTCCATATTTATGGGTCTAAAGACAGAATAATACCCTGGAACCATTGGATAGAACGACATTCCAAAGTCGTTCTTCACAAAGTGGAGGTCTGTGTGGCAAATCCCACAAAAGAGTATGTCAAGTGTGATATCGTTATCACCATTTCCCCTGTTAATTTCGTTCAACAAAACAAAAAATCAGTGCTAGAGTGAGATGGGTGTTTTTGAAGCGCATGCAAATTCCATTACGACATATTATACCTTCTGTTAAAGTGGAATGGGGAGAGAATTCCCGAATCGTCTCTAGCTGCCCACCCAAAGGTAGCAACTTTATTCTTGTCATCTCCTGCTATCACGTTCGACATGTTATAGTTTTGTAAGAAAAAGGGATTGATGGAATTTATGAAAAAAGGAAACGAATGGCAACTTGTGATGAAGAACCAAATGATAAGCTGGATATATATAGTAAGAAACGTGTAACCATAGCTTACCCATGCAATGAAGTCACCAAGTAGACTAGCGCAGAACAGTGTGAACTATTTTTCAATTTCCTTGAACAGCATGTTTTATAAATCAACCCCAAAATACTAAGAAAATAATAATTCAAAGGTTGTATACGGGGCTGCTGTAGCTTGTAGAGAACATTCAACTTCCTTGCTTAGTCAAAGATCTTGGTTTAATTATCAACAGGCTGCTGGTACAGTTCAAGTGAAATTAAAACAGTAGTGACCTCACGTGTCATAATTTTTCCATGCACTTCACTGACATTCTTATTTTTTTATAATTTTTTTCTACTAATTATCGTTATTTTATTCTTGTATTTCTCTCTTTCGTAGCGTCAAATAGGTTTAATTGTCTGCATGTGTTCTGTCATGGGTAGGACATTGCCAAGGTTAGGCATGGTAACTTGCAAGGGTCATGATGGTGTTGTAATCATTTAGACTGGCTGGTGCATTTTTATGCATTAAATAAAACACCTTATAGAATTCTATTATAGCTTGTAAAAAGAAGATCTCTTCTAGAATTATCTATTAATTAATAAAATTCTAAATATTACCTTGAATCTATATATCGTAAGTGATTGGAAAGAAAGATATCCCTAATTAATTAATAGTGATTGGTTAAGTTTCCTAGCAGAAATTAGTTATAATATCAAATATTTGTCTAGAATTAATCACAACATCAAAGGAAAGTAAAATATCAATCAAGTATATAATTTAGCCTTTACCTAATTAATCATTTTAGGAAAAAAAATAAATTTATTAATTTATATTATATAATTACTCAGCAATTGGTTTAAAATTTATTATTATACTTATTTTGAGCTAAATATACAACATATATAATAAATGTGGAAGATGTTTGGAGGAATTTTGATGGATATTTAGGCCTCAAGTTTGTTGTCGTTGGCATTCATCCCACACATTACATGACTAAAGACGCAATAAATTTTCAGATGAAATAAAATTTATATTTTAAAAAATATTTCACCTTCCTCTAAAATAGTTGAATCATTAAAATAAGCTACTTTATATAACCTAGCTCATAAGAGTATATATATATTTGATGTTTGAAAATTTTGGGCCTCATACAATGTCACTCCGACCTGGTTTAGTACAAAATTTAAGTAGCCCAATTATTTAAAAAATAATATTAAGTTAATTTACTATTTTGACTTCTTTTTTTTTTTTTACGGAATTAACTTAAAACTTATTTATTAAATTAAGCTAAATTTTCGATTTGACTATCGAAAAATTTGAAAATGCGTCAAACATTTAAACATTGTCTTAAATTTACACGTTTAGTTTACGAGAAAATAAACTATGCATTAACAGTATAAAACATTTTCACGTTGTAATCGAATTAAACTATTATATATGTATGTTTATATTACGATATGTATTTTTTAAATTATATCAATGATATATAACTTTTTTCTGATTAATTGAGAATGTAAACAAATTTACACTAACATTAATCTTGTTTTATGAAAATTGAACTACCCACCTCAGGTAATCTCCTCTTATCTAACAAAGAGGTATGTGATCACGTTTGTTGCATTATCAATAATTATGAAAACTAATGACTGATTAAAATATTAACAAAATTCTTAATTATTAATTATGATAACACATTAATTTTGAGTTCCAATATAACTGTTATATAACACGGACAAATTAATTTTAAGAAAAAATATATTTTATTTATTATAATTAAAAGTGAACCTTGGTTTTATATAAAAGAGGTTGTATTTGAGACATCTTTACACTAATTCTATTATTCTATTTTGGTTTGAGCGATGAAACATAAATCCATATTCGTATAAAAGGAGATCACGTTCAAAGCATACTTTGAATTTTCGTAAGTGATTATGTAGTGTTATTCTGGTTGTTCAATATTTGGGTTATTAAATAATAATTTTTGCTCTTGGAAATACTTTATAATGTGCAAAAAGTAAAAATTAAAAATTCAATTTCATTGTAAGAAAATGGGCCAGTGTTTACAGGCGCTACGGGCCTAAACTTTTAAGGTTTATTTCTTTTCACACCTCTATTATTTCTTCTTACATTCCCATATTCGTGAAGAATTAATAATCTAAAAAAGTTATATTTTTGCAAATTTTAGATGGAAAAAATAAATCCAGAAGTTTGAGAAAACCTTCCCAACGGATAAATTCAAAATCCTACTAATATAGGAATCGAAAATATAAATCAGCTTTAAATAATTATATGCACTATACATGATCATGAGTTATTATATGCATCTTTTTAGAGAGTCCACTATTTTATTTTCTTTTTATTGTTGTTAGTGGCAAATCGAGAAAAATAATCGAAAAATGAAGGAAAGAAATGTGATTGATTGATAAATCGATAAGATAGATAAAAAATCATTCGATGTCTAAATTAGAAGTACTTAGTACATAACATCGAGAAGAGAATCGAGCGAATGATAACCAAATGTTTATTGTCGAGTAAAAAATGAAGAAATTAGAGTTATATGAGATCAAGGTGAAAAAGAAATCGTAAGTAATTTGGAGTTCTCGAAAACATTAATCGAAAGTGAAGAAAGCCAACCTACGTGGACATCGAGACTTTGGCCAAACCACGAAAGGAAGAATAGTCAAACGCACATATAGGAAGCAGTTTTTAAACCGTAATAGAAGTCGAAGATCGTGAGAACGTGAGAAACTGTAGAAGATAAACTGCAACCTGCACGAAGAACGTGGTAGTAGTTTTGTTAACTACTCCTGGAAGGCTTGAAAGAAACACCTATAAATAGAGCAAAGGAGGAAGAGACAGGGGAGCAGAAATTGGCAGAGAACAGAATCAGTAGTGAAAAGTCTACCGGAGAAACGATGAACACCATGAAGTTTCTGGCAATCTGGATTTCCTTGCTCACTGAGTACATTTACCGCTTTCTGTATTTTCCTTGGTAATTTACTTTGATGCAATTTAAATTCAGCAGTTTTATGTTTCTGTATTTTCGATTCCTTGTCATTTCAATTCAATGAAATTTTAAATTTCTGCATTTAAGATTTCCTGTCATTTACTTTTCTTACAATCTCGATTTCCTGTCATTTATATATTTGCACTGTTTTCAATTTCTTGTCATTTACAATTAATGTAAATTTGGGGTTTTCGCACTTTACATTTCCTCGCAATTTAAATATTCTGTTTCTTGATTCGATATTTTTACTGTGTTCGGTATTTAAAAAAAAAATAGCATTTTCGATATCCTGTAACTTTCGATCCTTATACACGTTTCGATTGAAAGTCAAATTGCTAGCCTAAGTAAAAAGAACTTACGTGGGAGGATTTTGATTGGGACTAAAACACCTTTAGAATCGAAATCGATCGAAATTCCACCAGAAACAAATTGGCGCGCCAGGTAGGGGTTTCTTGTGTTGAGAAACACAAAATTGGTTAGTTCGAGAGTGTATGAGATTAAGGAGTGGGAGAGTCATGAGTCAGAATTCTTCAAATAATCAGAGTAATAGTGAGGGTCTAAATGGTGTACATTCACCAAATACTGGGGGGCAAAGTCATAATGGGAATGCACCTGTAGTATCGGAATTCGAGATATAACTTAGGAACATTCCAAACCCTAGGTATGCCACAGAATTTTGGAGCATCTCCAAACCAAGGAACATCTCAAAATTTAGTAATTCCCCAGAACTCAGGGAATGTGCAGAATGTAGGAACGCAGCAAATACCTCCAAATCTAGATCATCGAGGAAACTTAGATCATGGGAGATATGCGTATGATAGGGATTATCATCGATCTAATTTTGATACTATCGAAAATACTGGTACTGGAATATGACAACAAATGGATGAGAGTAATTTTGAGATGGTGAATATGTTATCACAACAGTTGACCACAGTTCTAAATCCATTAGTTCAAAACACTACCGCTAGTTTTGAGATATTAGCATACCAAATGTCACGAATCGGGGATGCATTGGCTGTACCTCGACAAACGAGGGTAGAAAATCATGCTAATCAGAATACTAATATCAATCCCCCGTATCTATTGAGGAGAAATAGAAACAATGATCAACATCAGCATATGGGAAATGAGTACCAACACGCGAGGAATGACATTTATGGGAATTTGAACGAAGGATTTCAAAATATACACAATCAGAATAACATGTTAGGACAAAGGATGAATTTACAAGGGATGGAATTTAGACCACCCAATCAGACATATTTTGTGTCTCCCTTTCCGAATGCGATTCTCGAGATAGAATTACCTCGAGGATATAAAGTGCCCAAATTCACTAAATTTGCTGGAGAAGTTGGTGAATCGACTATCGAGCATGTGGCTCGATATCAGATCGAATGCGGGGATTTAGCGATGAGTGAAGAATTAAAGATGAAATATTTTCCTAGTTCTTTGACTAAGAACGCTTTTACTTGGTTCACTTCGTTACCGCCCAATTCGATATATAATTGGTTACAGTTAGAGAGAAATTTTCATGAACAATTCTTTAGAGGAGAGACTCAAGTAAGTCTCATCGATTTGATGAACATAAAACGATACAACCATGAAAGTATTGATGATTATCTGAATCGATTTAGACAAATGAAGTCGAGATGTTTTACTCAAATTCCTGAATATGAATTAGTCAGGATGGCTTCTGCAGGTTTAGAATTCTCGATTAGGAAAAAATTAGTCAATCTACCACTGAATGACATGGCTCAATTAGCTGATAAAGTGAGAAGAGTGGAACAAATAGAGTATGAGAAACAGAGGTATAAGAAATATGAGAAACCCTCGAAAAAGGAAAGGATAACATATATAAATGACATATATGAGACGATTAACATGACAGAAAATGAGATTGAAAAAACCGTCGATG